AATGTCACTTCTTCCTAGAGGTTTTCTCTAACCAAGAACCTGAATGTCTACCTCCCACCATTAGACTGTCACATTACAACTTGAAATTTTATATTTATTTTTATTTATTTCATATCATCTCTTCCATAAGGCTAAAAACTCCATGAGATCAAGAACTGTGTCTTTTTAATGATTCGACATTTAGTACTTAGTCCAAAGTAAGTAAGTGAAGTCGCTCAGTCGTGTCCAGTTCTTTGCGACCCCATGGACTATAGCCTGCCAGGCTCCTCCGTCCAGGCAAGAGTACTGGAGTGGGTTGCCATTTCCTTCTCCAGGGGATCTTCCTGATCAAGGGATCGAACCCAGGTCTCCCACGTTGCAGGCAGATGCTTTACCATCTGAGCCACCATGGAAGCTCAAGAAAGCCTAACAAGAATGATCTGTTGAATGAACAAATTTTGTTCTCTTAACCCTGCTTAACTAACACTCATAAGCCTGGCAGCATAGCCCCACCCTTTTCATATGACACGTAAGCTTTTCTCTTTGTTGACATAAAAAGGTGTGGGTCTTTGGAGTTAGACACATCTGGCTCTGATACCCACGACTGAACCTATTGTGTGACTCTACGTTAGGTGCTGAACCTCAAGTAGGGAGACAAAAGCTGTCTTATAGTAATATTATGAAGATTAAAATGAGAATATCAATATAAAGTACTGACCATAAATGCATTCAGTACAAGTTATCTCCCTTTATTGCATGCCTCCTAATAAGCTCCAAATACTTTTTACCTGGATTGGGACCCACTCCAGTACTCTTGCCTGGAAAATTCCATGGACAGAGGAACCTGGTGGGCTACAGTCCATGGGGTTGCAAAGAGTCAGACACTACTGAGCGACTAAGCACACAGCACAAGCACTTTTTACCTCACACACACACACACACACACACACACCTTAACAGTGTTGCACGACGTGAGCCCATCCACTCTGCCCCTCTGAGTCTTTCTGAGTCTCTGATTGTGACTTTCTAACTAAGAGGTTTGCCTTTGGAGAATGAGATACTTAGCGATGGAACAGCACTGATGATAAACCAAATACATAACTGTAGTCCTAAATAAATGGAATTTGTATTATAAGGGCATGTTCTCAAATATATTTGGAAGTAACACAGAGAGAAAGGCAATAAATAATATTTTTGAGGGTGGAAGGCATTACTCTGAAAGAAAACAGTAGATGGCAGCACCAGATGCTGGAGACGTATCTGACGGGATTGCAGCTCAGACCTCTAGGACGCTAAGGGTAGCTTAAAACTGCATTCAGAGAGACAAATCTTCCTTAAAAAAAGAAAAAGACTTCCCTGAAGAAAAATAATGCCTATTTTATAACATAGTATTGGATTTTTAGAAAGAGTGTTTCACATGTTATCATCAAAATAATAAGAAAATAACCCCAAGCATTATGTAACTAATAAAAGGTAGTTAAACAAAGCCTTCATTCTGGGTTGTAGTAATATTTAATTAAGTATCAATCTGTGTTGCAGTTAGCCAGGAGGGCCTTAAGTCAAAGACTGAAATACTATCAGCTTATAGAAAAGGGCAAACTTTTCCCCAAATATTAAAGGCAAATATTAAAACATGTTCACTCATATTAAAATAAGGGTCAATAGTGACCTTCATTCTTGCACTTCCAGCATCACTTAGGGCACTGCTTGCTAAAACAGAAATCAAAGGATCACATGTTAAACTTTAAACTGATAATCTCTAGTTTCCCACATTATACATCAAATTTCATCTGCAAGTAACATGACTTTTAAAATCTTGCTAAATTGGATATTGCTTGCTCAGGCTTTGCTTCTCCTAGAGGGAAAAGGGGGAGTGCGATGCTGCTCTGACATCACGTAATAGTAGAGCAAACCCTTTTAAATAAAAATCCACTTTGTGGCCGTCATTCCTCTTTCATACTGCTTGGTGTCTTACAACGTCACTGCAATCAGAGAGAGTGAACTCAGTCTTAGATTTTGGATGACAAGCAACGGGACAAGTTCAAACCCATCCCGTGGTGAGTGGCAAAGCAGCGCTGGCGCAGAATGCCCATTGATGACGGGTTGGGGGGACTGTCTTAGGAATCTCGGCGGTGTTTGTTTGTTTAGATTTGACCGAAGGGTAACAGGAGCATTTGTCATCAGAGAACCGAGCCAGTCTATGCAGGAGGAACACTCTGAGCGGAGGGTAACTCACTCTGCCAGCGAAACAGTCATTGTTGCCTAACTGCAGTGAACTGTTTCCAAGTTCTGTGGTCATAATTCTGAAAATGTTTTTCTCACCTGAGTTCACTATGAGATTGAGCCCCCTGAAAACACTGGGCAAGATTGCTGATTCTAACATGAAGTCAGATCAAGGATTCTAGAGGGAAATTGTTCAACTGGCACGAGGAGAAAGGAAGCAAACGTCTGAACTGAAAAAACCATGCGTGTGTCTCACAGTCAGCCAAAAGTCGGCCGCCACAGGCAGATGAAATTCTGAAATCCAATAATGCACAGGGCGTTTTCTTTATGGAAATGAACGATTCACTGCAGTATCTAAATCTTACATAATACAAAGAAAAGAAAAACAGCAATAGATAGAGTCCAATCACAACCAAAAGAGAAAACTACGTTCCCTGGGAGAGGCTTTCTGCCGAAAGCGCAATGCAGTGGCAAATGTCTTTTCAAGGGAAGGAATAAAGTCTGTTAGTTCAAGAGGTCTTATTCCTCTTGGAAGCCTAGGAGTTTTCTCCATTTTAATGAACCCTAGCTTGCTCCAGATCTGGCAGCTGAAGGGACCCTAGGTTGGATGACCTTACTATGCCCTCCACTAAAGCCTGTGTGGTCCCCAAACAGGCCAACGCACATCTGACGGTGGTGGGTGCCAGTTTCTCACTGACATGTGCCTTTTCAGGTCAGGAGCAGAGTTGGCTATGCTCTGACATAGCTGTCGTGTCCTCTTGATGCCCTTGTTTTGACGGACTCCCTCTGATCTAAACATGAAAGTCACTGACAGCCATCACTGGCCTCCCGTTCTGACAGTCTCCTCTCCAGAAGACTCAGTGAGTCAGGAGGTATCCTCCTGTGAAGCTGGGCGCCCAGGCCAGCCTATTTTAGCAGTTGTGACTGAGTGAGAACATGCTTTGCTCAGCCTGCTGGCTCCACTCTTGGGAGCACAGAGTCTGTGTTACAACAACCAGCATGAGCATTCTGACCACACTCCTCCCTAGCTCAAGTTCTGTAATGAGAACATTTAAAGAAAATGCATACAATCAGGAAACAGTGCTGAATGTCCGAACACTAACCAGAGTTCTTGATTTGTGGCTCTAAGACATGGATTCTTTTGCTCGCTGAATCCAGACCCCACACGTTTTGGAAGAAAAGCAACAGCCAAAAGATGAGAAAAACAGTTCATGTTTATGAGACCAGCCTGAAGCCCATGCCACACTTATGAGTTTGGGTTTTCATTCGGCAAAGAAACTAGCTGTTCTTTCTTCAAGTTCATCGGAAAATATGCCCATTAGTCTGACTCTTCGGCTTTAGAATCATTGTTTTGGAATCTTCTGAGCCAGTAAGTGAAAGATCATTTCATTTTAAACATGGAAGTTTGGAAAATGTGCCTGACATTTGCCCAAGTAATGCGATTAAAAAAAAAAAAGTAATGAACAACAATTGGACTAAAAACAAAGGATGCCTTCCCACCTCCCAATCAGTCTGGTTTAACTGTTTACATTAGCTTGGGTTACCCTAGTTTCCTGAAAATAGTTCACTTAAAGAACCCCTCCAGGTGGGGTGTTTCAAGCAGCAAATCATAGAGAGAAGACCTTGACCACCTCCTATTTCTCATGATTTGATGTTCTGTAAAGTGTGACATGTGGCTAGACAACCACTTCCCTGACTTCATGGCAGAAGGAAGCCCATGGACCATACCCTTATCTTGCAGGTAGCCACCCTCATTAGCAACCTTCCCCAATCCTGGTTGATGATGAAATTTCAGGTCAAGACCCAGTGACACTTCACTATATAGGCTGGGGGCCCCTAGGGTCATGCTTATTTACAACTGCCCAAATCAGGGGTCACAGCCTGATGTCTGACCCAAACATGGGGTACAGAGCAGTAGCAGGAACTGAACATTTCCCAGATCCATGAACACATCTAGTTGACTGTTAGTCTGCCTGGGGGTTAATTCCCCATATACTATAGCTGTGTAAGCATGAAAAGAAAACATGCTGCACTTTCAGTTTAGTTCAGTTCAGTCGCTCAGTTGTGTCCGACTCCTTGCGACCCCAGGAATCGCAGCACAGCAGGCCTCCCTGTCCATCACCAACTCCCAGAGTCTACTCGAACCCATATCCATCGAGTCAGTGATACCATCCAACCATCTCATCCTCTGTCATCCCCTTCTCCTCCTGCCCCCAATCCCTCCCAGCATCAGGGTCTTTTCCAGTGCTGCACTTTAGAGCATGTTTATTTCTACAAGTGCTTCAGTGCTTAATTACTGCTAAAGTCATTTGGGGTTTTTGACACAGATTCTATTTTAGTACGATAAACTCAGCATAACCCAGTGTTGCCAAAAGTGAATTCCTAAGGTAGATTACTAAAATAAACCAGTAATAAATATTGGCTGTTGGAATGGGAATTATATCTCTGTAATGTAGACACAGCATTACTGACTCATTTTCAAATAACAGTCTCTCCCAAGGATTATTGGTATGAGGGATTCAGAGAAGAAAGAAGTCCATCTCTCTTTTAGGCAGCAGAATGAAAGAGGACCAGGGTTCACCAGGCAAGGATATTTTTATATCTGCTATGCCAGTGGAGATATAGCCCCAGTGTCCAACAGGGGGTCAACTTAGGTTTCACTGAGGCAGAAATGGGCATTGAAGGAAAACCATCCTAGGGGATGAGGCAGCTGATTCCAGGGGCATTGTTCTCTCATTCCCCTGGAGGTAGAATGTATCCCCAGGCCTACCCGATGCGCATCATGTGGCACAAATTACCTTATCAGTCACAGGGCATGCTGCCATATTCCTCTGAGGCTTAGAATTAGTGGACTTTTTCAGACCACCTCTACTCCCTAATGTCAAATCCTGAAATTTCAGTCCACTAGGTTGAGCTTTACAACTTCTCTGGTGTACTGGAAGGTGGTCGGGGGCAAAGGTCCGACTACAATTTGGGCAGGACACGAGCTGACTTTGACGTGGTCCTGCGTGATTGGGCTGTCCAGTGGGGAGGGGCTGAGGCTTCTGTGGGAGTGGCTGGCGGAACTCCCTGGGGAGTCGGTCATTTTCTATTTTCCACTTTTCCAGGCACTGGGGCTCATGGATAGGAAGGGACAGGGTACCAAATTCCCTCCCACAGATGTAGCAGATGACAGTCCTTGGTCGGGTTGTGACGCCACTGGAAGGTTTCTTGAGACCAGCAAGTTCATCAGATCTGTCCGGGCTTGGTGCCCTAGGCCCCTCAACCTTCTGCTTGCAGCTTCTCTGATGAACAAGAAGCCGGTCTGGCAAGAATGTACGGCCGCAGGACTCACAGGGCAGCAGCTGAGCCTGGGAACTCTGGAAGGCTGCCTCGTTCACTGCCTGAAGGTTGTAGGACCCACTTCCGCTGAGAGGCGGTGGTTTGGAAGGTTCTGGCCTCCTCAGGTGCTTGGGCAACTTGCTGTTTTCAACACGCCACTTCTCCAGGCACTGGGGTTCATGAATGCCAAGGGATTGGGACCCAAATTCTCGGCCACAGATATAGCACACCCGGAACCCGGGCCTGCGGGATGGGATCACGGGAGGCCTGGGCTGGCTTTCAGACATAATCCTCCTACTGGACTGCTTTGAGAGAATTACAGTTCCAGGTCTGTTTTTCCGAGGGTTCGTCTTTATTTTTCCACCCTGATTGTCATGCTCTATTTCTGGCAAGAAGCTAGAATGGGACTCACCAAATAGAACAGCTTGGTTTATAAGACAGGTGGGCTTTTTGGAATGGTGGAAAGACTGTTGCAATGTGGAAACCCTTTTCTCCTCTTTTCTTTCCATTAACAAAGAAGGCTTTCTCTAGGGCTTGCTCTGATTTCAGGCCAGACGCATTTTGGGCTTCTGCTTAGAGTGAAGGTTAGTCAGGTTGGCTGTCCTGGGGTTCCACATCGTAGCCAGTACCTTAGACCCAAAGACTGTGACTCAGAGCTTCATTGCAGGGCAGCAGTCTGGAATGCTGGAAAGTCCCCATGAAACCTCAGACGCCTCCAAGATCTGCAGGGGAAATATAAATCAAGAAGTTATGGCACACATACACATTCATACACACACACATTCACGTGCACACATGCACACACACATATTTTACGTTGATAAAGAACAGTCATTTTTTTTGACTGAACATCCTCTTTGGCTATCATAATAACTACACATAGGATTTGTTCAGTAACTGTTGGAATAAATATGAAAAACATTTCTGTTATGAATTGCACTGTTACCATATCAAACAAAAGCAGTGTTTGTTTGATATTGCAAAGGAAGATGGACAATTATTGCACATCTCGACACATATGGTATGAACCAGGAGGCATGGTGGTGAGATCATGCAAGAGAGAACTGAGGCTTCTGAAAACTAGATTAATGAAACTGCAGATCAAGTACAAAAGACCTCCTTCCATTACCTTAGGGATTCTTTTTAGTGCCATGGATCCCTTTGTCAGTTCTTTGAAGCCTATGGACCTCTTCCCAGAATAATAATTTTAAAAGCAAAATATAAAATTCTTACTAGTACAAGTGAAACTAATCTTATTGAAATAATTTATCAAATATTTTTAGTTGTGATCTCTCTTTTACTTGAGCTGTAGTCACAGGCCAGACTTTTTGAGTGTCCATGAGCCTAAGATTAAGAACCAGCAGAAGAAGTAATTAAAGCTTGAATAGGAAGATTATCAGGAAGCCTTCAGAATGAGTTCAGCTTCTTCTAACCCACCAGGTATCCACTCTTCTTTATTATGGGACTGGAATATTAATAAATTATGGCTGTAATTGTCAAGACAAAAAAGCAACCTTGGGCTGTATTCTTCCTGGTGGTCCATCTGTACACCTTCCCTGGGGTGAAGATGCTCAGACTTCAGCTGATGTTCCTTTGACAGCTGTTGTGTTCATGTTCTTGTTTTACACAGATATATCTTCTTATAGACATCTATCTACCCATCTGTCAAACTATCTTTTTTTAAATAAAAACATGGCCAGCAATCTTCCTAAACTAGAAGAAAGGGCTGATAAGATCTCATTACAGTCAGAAGCCAAAGGAGTTTTTACCTTGGGGAAAGGCATGAGTCAGTTTTATCCCAGTCTACAACCTAGCTCAAGAAAGATTATCTTCAAAAGTCTTAGGACCTTCTTCATTTCCTGAAGGATGACCTCACTCCGGATTAGGGGTTCTTTAGCATTGGCTCCCATTCACAGAGGGAGCAGCACCTGATCTGAGGCTAGACCCTACAGTCCTCGGCAGACACTTGAGTTCAAGCACCCCAAGGACAGCTGTGCTGGTTATATCAGAACTCTGTTCAGGCATTGTGGTTGATAAGGGACAAAAAGCTGTGAGATCTGCACTCAGTTCCTGCATTCTGGTGCCAAGAAAAGTGTGAATCTTCGCAATTAAGGCTACCAAATCAGGTCTGGCATAGAAAAGGAAGGTATTCGTCATTTTGACAGATCCTAAGACAGTGATATTAACACATGTGACAAAAGAATGTGCTGGCCCCAAACAGAATGACCAACACAGAAAATGAAGCTTAAAGAAGCAAAATTTATCACTTGATCATCACCATCCAAAAAAGAAAGTGGCTCTAGAGAACACAAAGAATCCAGTAAAACTATTTCACTAGATTTTAAACATCACATGGGTAAAATGATCCCCCAAACCACTCTGCTTTGTTGGTTCTGATTTCTTATTAACCAAGGATTTCCTGTTTTAGTTTCCCATTTTCCCTGATGCCAAGAAGTCGCAGATAGCAAAAGTATTTAAGAAGGAAAAATCACTGCAATCAAATAAACTAAACTTGTGAAACCTCCCTAAACTTGCTTACAATCTTCCCTCTTCACCGTGCTGCTCCCCACAGATGAGAATCTGAGAAAGCCCCATGACTTGCTCCAATAATTCATCCATCTCTTTTATGCTAAAGATAACTAATATTTATTGAATGCTAACTATTCATCAGACATTGTACTAATTTTTACATACATAATTTTAGTTAATTCTCAGATGATTATCATACAGGTATTATTATTTTAATTTTTACAAATGAATAAACTATGACTCAGAAAAGACAAGTAACTTGCCCAAGACAGTCAGTTTCTAAATGACAGAACTGGGAATCAATTCCAGCTCTCTTTGGCTCCAGTCCTCGACTCTTTCCATTATTCATTCTGCCTAAAATTCCACCGACAGAGCTTCTTAAGTTTTTATCCCTATTTTAATGTACAATTCATATGCCCCATGGGTTTATGAAGGTAACTAAGCTCTCACCCGCTTTTATGCTCCCTTTTAGAAGAAGGAAGGGGTGAGAGGGAGGAGGGGGATAGGGCACAGAAGAAAAGAAATCTTTGAGATGGAAAAAGCAGGTGAGAAATCAGGGTTACTAAAGACAGCGTTTCTCCTTAAAGCAACAGGGATCATTTTATTTTGCTGTGAATGGTTTTATAGATGAAGTTATTCTCTGTATGATGTGCAAAACATACCCTTTCCTGATCTCACCAGTATCCTTAAGAAAAATCTGTACTACTAGCCACAGATGGTGGGTGAGGAGAATTGGGGTGCAATAGTGGGTGCAGAGTGAAAGTGAAGGCTGCCCAAAGGCGCCAGATTGGCATTCAGTCTGCAGCCCTGTCGCTACTTTGATTAGGGATGGATCTTTATGCATGCAGGCATTCATGCATTTTCTCTGCAGCAAAAAATGACAAAGAATAATAAAATGCCCATTGAATCTTTATCTTTTCTTCTTTAATCATCCTCATTCCTCCTTCAATGCCCTTCTGAAAATTGTCTTATTGTAATTAAAGGTATCAATGTATGGAAAATGAGGTAGCTAGGACCAAGTGAAATTTGGGGAGACTGAGGTGTTTACTAGAAAAATTTATGATATTTCTGCCAATAATTCCGCTAAGGCAATGCAGCAAGGCACAGCATGGTCATTTGCTCTATCCTATAAATTCTAAAAGTGAAAGTGCTAGAAAATACTAACTACATATACTTAAATCACTTAAGAATTTGGCCTGTCACCCAGACATGTTGTAAAGCAATGTTGCTAGTTTAAAAAGAGAACCACTTTGCAAAGCCAGCCAGTTTCACCCCAAGCATCCATGGAGAAATGTTCACTCCAATTGGCCTGAATTATTCATTTTGACCATATTTGCACATAGGCCATTTAAAGAATGTCTTGGAAGGCATCATGTTTTATCAATATGATGCCATTTTTCCATGCCCTTTGGACTTCATGGGAAGGGAGAGACAAACTTACGAGGATGAATATAATAACCATAAAAATCTAAAAGCTATCTTAGCATTAGGGGGCATTTCTCTAAAAACGAGGGGAAAGAACACAAATAGAAATGTTCTACTTGTTCTTCTAAAAAATAATTTAGTTCTTTGAAACAAAACAAATGTGTGATACATGACCCCTTCTCCGCTAGTATAGAATCCAAACCCTTTAAACAGACAAATGAATAAAAATGAATAAATAAGAAAGGTAGACTTGGGTTTTATGCTGCCTCTGAGAAAAATTATAAAATAGAGACAGTTTGTCTTCAATGTCCTCCATTGACCCCATTCAGTAGCCTCGCCTGCTCAGTACCCTCATATACACTCTAGTCTTCTTGCTAATGAAATCTTGCTTTCAAAAAAGAGCTGATACACTCAGGCTTACAATTGATGAGGTAATATCCCTCCCAGAGTCTGGCAGAGACAGCTAGTTTCCTATTAATAGTTATGCTGCCCAAACTCCCCCAAGTTAACAGAGTCCCACTTTCTAGCTGGCACATGATTTCCAGCCAAAAGTCTGCAGTCTTCTTTGTAGCTAGTGGAAGCATTGTGTGGCACTTGTAAAAACTCTTCTTGAAAAGTAGGGGACCAACCTACTCCTCTTCTCTTCCTTCATGATGATGACTGATGGCTGGAGTTCTAGCAGCCATCTTGGGCAGATTATATTCATGTAACACTTAACATGACAGAGTAGACATATGGATGAATTTGGATCCTTGAAAATGCTACAGCCATCTTAGAAGCTCTGGAGTGACTTCCTTGGGCTTTATTTACATAAGAGAAATAAATTTTTTTTTGGTATTTTAGTCACTTTTTAAAAGTCTTTAACTCATATGAAAACCTAATACTAATTGAGTTATAGTTTAATAGTTATCATGGAGCTAGGCACAAAATGAATTCTAACAGTGATATTTCAAATTTCAAGATTTTTTTTTTTTTGATGAGAAAAAAAGTTGCAAGGGTTTATAGGGCAAAATTGACTATTAAGTATATACTTTCCCCTAAAAATCAGAAATGAAAAAGCTTGGAATTGTAAATACTGAGCCAATGGTTCTTAAGAAACTGATTCACAATATTTCCTTTTTCAGAATATTTTTTTAGAAAAAAATTTAATGACATTTACTTCAGGAGAATAGAACCTCATTTTTCCCATCAGTTCTTGAAAGATTGAGAAGGCATCATTGTTGTGCCAGTTGTTAATGCATTGTCTCCGTATTCCATACTCTCTCTTCTATATCCAGCTTCGTGATGCTGGCACTGGGACACTGCACGCCCCATTTCTGCTTAGCCAGCCAGCTCTGCATTATGATTTACTAATAGTACTGGAGGGAAAAGGTGAGGTTAGAGAAGAGAGAAGACTTGCATCTTTTTAAAGGGTTTCTTGTCTACTTTTGGTTCCTGTATCACCCCAGCAATACTTCTTTATCCCAGAAAAAGCAGTTTTTTCCTGAAGCAGCACCTGAAACCAGTTTACAGTTTTTCCAATATTTGCAAATCAAACTGAATTTCCCCTCCCCCA